CCCCCCCCCCGGCTGGCTCCATAGGCCTATGAGCTTTCATGTGAAACACCAAATCAGGAGTGACTAAGTTCATTGTCTCTCTCTCTCTTGTTCTTTTATAGGGACGTGATGGAGCTAAGGGGAACAAGGTAAGTCTACCGTTTTGTTTCGATGACGCCTACCAGAGGGGTTTGCATATAAAGGGGCGGAACAGATGGTAATCACCAGAGATGGCTTAACACCCTGCCAACTCCACCCCGCTTCAGACACTTGCGCTGACACACACTTGCACACGTCGACCCGAGGCCACAGACAGAGCAGCAGCAGAGGTGACAAGTGCGTCGTCATTGGCAGACAAGGAGTTTTGCAGGCCTGAAGAGAGACCGTGTGTACAAGACTATTAATTACTGCATGTATCAGGACCACAAGTCCAAATTGTCACTGAGAGGAAGGGGGAAATGAAAGCACAAAGGAGGCAGAGTTTAAGGGTGGAAGATGCAAGTGCCATGTTTTTCCAAAATACAAGTTGCGTCAGATTACAAGTTGCATCAGTCAAAAAAATGTGTCATAAAGAAGAAACACACATATATAAGTTGCTTCATAGTATAAGTCACACCTGACTTCAGATCACATCAGAACAGACATTTAATCTGGAATAACAAAATAACACACAAAATGCCAGCGACCCTTAACTAACATAGACAGATGACACATATAAGAGTAACTTTATGTAAATTGCTTGCAACAACTGTAACTTTTTTTACACAAGTTCAACTAAAAAACATCTGCAGCAAGATATGGAAAACAAATTAAGTTAACATAGCTACCATTACTAGCTTAACATTTTTCTTGCCATTTGCATCATACTGCTGGATGGTCCAGTACAGTCTTCAGTACATCATTAACATAAAGTGCCCTCTCACAGCTGCAGATGGTAATAATCCAATGAAGTTAATCATGTCTATACATCAAATACAAAAACTTTTCTGTTATTTTATGTCACTTCGGACATATGTGACATGTTTTGAAACATGCCAAAACCTTTAACTCATCAATCAAAAAATGTGTCATGAAGATAATATTATATATA